AAAAGGAAAAAAACCCACGGCTCGCGATAAGGAGCCGGCTCGCATCGTTCACGTCAAAGACCCGGCTCTAAGAACCGTTTCGTTCGCGACCGAAACATCACTAAAGGCTGAGCTCAGATCCAAAAGGACGAGAATGGTGAGAAGACCAGAGCCAGCTCCGATTAGAAGATCATTAGTGACTTTAAGTAGAGCAGCTTCTGCACTGTGACATGAACGAAAACCAGACTGAAATCTCTCGTAGATGTTATTATTAACCAGGTGTGAATGAAGTTGAGCTGCAACCACTTTTTCGAGTATTTTAGAGATGAAGGGCAGATTAGAAAACGGACAGAGGTTGTTAAAGTTGTTAGGATCTAAAGAAGGTATTTTCAGTATAGGAGTGACTGAAGCAATCTTGAATAAGGAGGGAACGATACTGGTGGTGAGTGAAGAGTGAATATAGCAGAGATGAGTGGGAGTAAGGAAGAGAGGCAGGATTTCACAAACCCTGCAGGCATAGGGTCAAGATGACACGTGGCAGGCTTTGATCTACACAGAAATATCAGATAAATCAGGAAGATGAAGAGTGGAAAACAGCTAAAAAAGGAGAAAAGGTTCTGGAGAGGACGTAGACACAACATGTGAACTGAGTTGCTGGTAGATGTTATTGATTTTAGTAGTCCAGAACATGTGTTGATACACATCTGGTATCTCACCTCAGTCCGTTTCCATCGTCAAAGAAGAAGTACTTGGACTTCATGTCTCTGAGGTTCAGCTTGGTGTTCTCACCTCGAAGAACGATCTTATCCCACAGGACGACCTGGTTCAGAGACTGACACACATACACACACAGATTAATTATACTGCAGGACCTCCATCCATGGTCAGGCAGCGGTTCATCTACCAATCAGAAGGCTGGTGGTTAGATCCCTGCCTCCTCCGGGCTAAAATGTCCTTTGTGTGAATTAGGGCTGAACGATATATCGCATTTGCGATAATAACCGCAAAGGCTGCGATTATACTCTGGACATGTCCAAATTCATGGGCTGCATCCTCCTGAGGCCGCATTTGTAGACCGATTACGTCACAGCGACGCGCCGAAGGCTGTCCAAATTGGAGATTTTGAGTCGACAAGCGCCTTTGTTACTGGGACCAGTCATTTTAAGAAAGGCCCCCATTAGAACCCATGAGAAATGCAAGAAATGCATTATTGCTCAGTCTGCAGTATCTTTCCCAGAACAAACACCAATTGCAAATAACATAACTAAAAATAAACCTGAAAAATCAGTTTAGAACAGCTACTATGTTGCAAAGAGTGAACTACCACTGGCACAATGTCAGCAGTCTTGCAAACTTCAAAACAGCAAATGGCCTCGATCTTGGTTCCACTTGTCTCTACCCGTGCTTCAGTGGAAATTTCAAATTCAGGATCTGACACAGACTGATTCATGTCCTACACAGTTCTTACAAGTTCATAGAAATTTCTGTTCAATTAGAACCAAGTATTTGAGTTGATGATTGTAATTTTTATACAATGTTGTAATTTGTTTTTCAACAATTTTTTGATTAATGTTTTGTTTCCTTTACAATATTATACTATTAAGTATAATATTGTAAAGGAAACAAAACAGGAAACTCAATCAAAAAATTGCTCTCTTTTTTA